TGGCGATATGTGGAGAAGATAACGATTGACCTTTGCCCTGAATAAGCTACGATTGTTGTGATCGGGAAAGCATCCTCTTGGGAGTCGGTTCCACAAAGCAGCGGTTCATTTTTGAATGGAACTTACATCTCATCAATGGATGACGAATGGAAAGAAGGGGCTTCGCTACAATGTGCATGATATGGTGGTTCTTAGCTGTGGATGTTAGGACTGGGGGAACTACAGAAATGCTGATAGACTAGCGAGAGGCTTGTGATGTTTCGTCTGTAAGGAAGGGGGTTGTTCGGTAGAAAATAATTCGTCAATCACAAGGAAATGAAGACACATTTGAACTCTTTTTCATTCAATACATTAGTATAAAAAATAAAATAAATTCGTCATCCACAAGAACGGGGAGATTCTTTTGAACTCTATAGGGACTGGGAAGTGAATACTGGGCAGCTCTTGTCCATATATCGCAGTAGTAGTCCATTTTCGGTCTGATCTAGTTGTAAACGTAGAATATAGTTGGAGGAATCGTGTACTTACTGGAGCGGTAGAGGGGACTGAGCATTTTCTCAGCATCATTAGTGATGGATTATATGTAAGAGTTCTACTTAAAGTCTTGGTTTCGTCTGCGAGAAAAGGGCTGTAGAATGGGAAATAATTCATCACCCTCAAGGACGAGGAAACATTTTTGAACTCTATCGAGACTGGGAACTGAAGACTGAAGAGCTCCAGCCTGGATATAGCAGTACTACTATATTTTCGGTCTGATCGAGTTCTTGTAAAGGTAGAGGATATCAAGAGGATTCTGGTACTTCTTGGAATGTTACAGGAGACCGACCATTTTCTCGGTATCTTTACCGATGGGTCATATGTACGAGTTTTATTTGAGTTCTGGATTGAATTAAAGTTCTAAAAGGCGCTTAAGGCACGAGCCACCCTGAGAGAACACCCGTTCATTGCGATAGGTGAAAATTCAAGGTTCGCTCGGTGATGCTGGAAAGTCACTAGTTTGGTTTTCGAGGTATTGAATGCGACCAGCCAGTTCCGCCACCCCCGAGATCAGATGACGGATCAACTGCCAGGCTCTGATCATCTGGAGGTGCACCCAAATACTGATGTATCATCAGCTGAGATATTCACAAATGATTGGAGTATACTATTAGGCAGATAATTTATGTAAAGTAGAAAGAGGGTTGAACTGAGAAGAAAGCCCTGGGGGACACCTACATTGATCGCTTGGGCTTCTGAGGATCGACACTTACCTTGCTAGATCAATCAGCCAAGAGCGGAAAGTGAAGACTGGCCAGCCCTGTTTATATATGGACAGGACTGTCCAGTCATTTCACTCATCCTGTTATTCTCTACGTTGAAACGATAGAGGATAGCAGAAGGAGTCAGGTTCTTACTGGACCGGTACAGGTAACCGGCCATTTTTCCAGCATCTTTAGCGATGGATTGGATGTACGAGTTCCACTTGTGGTCAGGATTGAGTGGTCAAAATGTTGTATACCACTTCACGCTGGGGGTAGTCTTGGGGCGACAATCTTGCTCCACTCATATGTTGCTTTTTTTCTTTTTATCATCTTCCGGCCCGGAGATCGCTAGTTAGTTTGTTCCGGGTAAAATGAGAATTTCAACAAAAGGGATTTTAAACTTATCTATTTCATTAAACACGTCAAGGTGTACATTTTTAAATAGCCAATGAGGGGGGGGGGTCGCTCTCTCACCCCCACCGAAGAGCAAGTTCCCCGAGAAACGAAATAACCACGTCTGATCTCTTCGACGTGTAAAAAATTACTCCTCGAAAACACTTTCTATCTCTATTTGCACAGGCTTTTGTCAAACTCAGACTAAACAAAACATTAAAAATCAGTCCATTGTTCAAACTGTGTCCTTTCTTTTTTTTTTCTCTTTTCTATTCTATTCGTCATCATTTTTTCCCTTTTCCCTCGTTTTATTTTTTTCATCATTACTTCCTAGTTTAGTTTGTTGAAGGTTTGTGTATGTGTGTGTGTATGTGTGTGTGTGGCAGTAGAATAAAGTAATACCATCACACTTAAGGACTGTCCAATATGTCTAGACTATTCCCTTTTTTATTCTTTTTTCTTTTCTTTTTTTTTTTGAGACCTCAGTCTTCGAACTTTTCCACGTTGAGTTGCAAGTCTCATTCTACATTCACCTATGCTGGGAGGTCCTGTTCACTGCACTAGATAAGCAAAATATTGCAAAGCCAAATGGTTCTAGGGAGATCTTGGTTGATGTGGTAGATTCCATAACGTATCTTTTATCGCTCGTCTTATCCTGGACGGGTGTCGAAATGTATTTGGAGTCCGGAGATGAAAGAGATCTTCAACAAAAGGGATTTTAAAATTATCTATTTTACCAAACATGTCGACGTGCACATTTTTAACTAGGGGGTCGCTCTATCATCCCCACTGGGGACCAAGTTTCCCGCCCCGAGAAACGAAATAACCATGTCTACTGTGTATGTCGTGTAAATCTTAACTCATTGCAATCGATTTCTATTTCTTTAACATTCCCACGTTCGGCACAGCCAATCAAAATCGACATCCCAATTTTGTTTAACAGCTGACCCCAAGGTCAGCCACAGAATGTCTGAGCCAAATACATTAAAAAAATAATATCCTGAAACTATTATTTAATAAAAGCACGGTGCCTTTCTGAGAGTACATGAACTCGACTCGATGATTCCATTTTTTGCGCTGATAATCCCATCTATATGATGCGAAATTAGGAAATTCAAATCCTCTTTCATTTCAGCTAGGCCGATGATGACGGCAGTGTCATTTGCGAATATCCGGCATTTAGATAAATGTGAATAAATTATGGAGATTTTAGGTCAAAGCACAGTCTAAGTCCTCTAACTTGAAGGCTCACCTTGGTCACTGATATGTCGTGGTTGTTGACTTCTGTCTAGGCAGCCCTCGTCTAGCAATACTGTGACGTGATGGGGTCCACCAGGTCTATATACCCAAGGCACACTATACATAAACGAATGCCTCCCCGGCTTTTAACCCAGATATGTTGAGGAAACTGGTTAGGTGCAGAATTGCGAAACGATCCTACGACTACATCCGGTAATAGGACTGACGATGATGATGTATTTGACTTTAGGAAAAATAACTAAATGAAAACATACAGGAAAACCGAAAGAAAATCATTTCCATTGTTTGCCTCATTTTAAAGAAAAAGAGAAAAGTTAATTGCCTGAAAAAAAAAAAAAGAAGAAAAAAAAAAAGAAAGAAAAGAAATCTTCAAACTGTAACTGCTCAAATACGGAAACAGCCATTTATTAATTAAGTCCTTTAACTCAATATAAATTCTTAAAATCATTTTGACAATAATAAACGTTTGAATTAACCTTTTTTTTCGCGAAGATATTGTTTGCTTGTCTCTTATCACCATCGATTGAGATGTGTTTGAAATCAAATAAACTTTTGAAAATATCTACTGTCATATTTATAATTGGTTTTGATTGGCTGGGCCGAACGTCAGATAAGATCAAAATACTTTTTCCTCACTGAACAATATGCATAGAAGATATAAGATTACTTTTGATATAATGAATATGTATACACTTGGGTTTCCCTTCACAGTAATATGACTGGGTGGTGTCATCCATAAATACAGACTGGTGTGGAGGTAGAAGGACGCCTATTGCCTACGCCTATTGACTACACTACGACGAGGACCAGTCCATGACGGTTACCTGCTAGATTGTCCTACTCGGTTACAGTAGTTCAAAACCACTTTGCTACTTCGAACAAATATATCCCTTTTCGGGGCATATCAAGTTTCATATTTTTTTAATTGAGAATCATTGATTTAGATGATGAATGGAGATTTTTGGAATTTATTATCCGTTTTCAGTTAATAAAATCTTACAAGGCAACGTATTTGCAACGTTACAGAGTAACGGACACAGTGTGAAGATTATACAACAAACGTTTTTGTAACATCTATGCAATATTGAAGAAACATTTCAGCAACGTCATTTGTTAGCTGTAACAGTCAGTATTTTGTTAATAAACATTCCGCTCATCCTAAGTGGCTCAGTAGTTAGTATCTCCAACATACAAACAATTGTGTTCGAATACCGTCAAACCTCTGAAATTCAAAATATTAAAGAAATCTGTAGGATGTCGTATAGTTTTAGATCTTTCTTTTCCACTTAATATATTCATTACAATGAAAAAAATATGGGTGATTTTTTTACAATGATGTTCACCCTGTACAAGGCACAAGATCCACTCAAAGTAGAGAATTATAGAGTAAGAGGCACAGTTTATGGAGATATGTGGGGAAGATAATAGTTGACTCTGGACTTGAATAGAACGAGAGTTTAACGATCTGGGAAGCACCCTCTTGGGAGTTGATTTCGTGGTTCGAAGCAGCACGAATGGAACATTCATCTTATCAATAGAATACGAACGATGGTTCTCTACAATGTGCGTGGCATAGTGGGTCTTAACCATGAAGATTAGAATTGGTGGAACTAAGGAATGTAGTTTTGTCTAAACACTTTCCATGGAAGCGAGAGACGTTTAGTCTTTGAAAATAATTCGTCATCCACAAGGACACAAAGACGCTTTTTGACTCTATCGGGAATGGAAAGACTGGTCAGCTCCTGCCTATATATATAGCAGTAGTGCTCCATTTTAGGCCTGATCTGTCTCTTGTAAAGGTACAAGATAGGAAGAGGAGGAGTCAGGTACTTACTGTAGCGGTACAGGGAATCGACCATTTCCCCAGCATCTTTAGAAATGAATCGTATGAACAACGTACACTTGAGGTTTGGGTTGCGTTTAAATCCCAATAGGCGGTCATGACATGGGGTCTACATAAGGGAACGTCTGTTCATCCCGATTGGTTGAAAAGCATTGCGATCGTTTAAGTTCAGATACTACGTTACCCGCATGAAAGAAGAAAAAATGGTTATGTTCAAATTTAAATGCTAAGCACAATCTGTATAATTTGTATTAAAATAAAATATGCTTCGCCTAGCGAACATACGCTGTCCTTTTTTATCTATAATTTGGTCATGTCTTCAAAGTTCATTCAGTCGTATAACAGAAAAAAAGACAGACGAAGTACAATATGACTGTTGTGTCGCATTCGTTGTCATTAGAACAAATATAGTTAGATTTCCAGTTCGCGGGCCTTCTTATTTGTCTTCCTGCCAACAATCATAACAAGTAACACGTTGCCAGAATAACCGGCTTTAATTACGATTTTGTCAATGGCCTCCGGAGTATTTGTTGTTTGGCCAGCACGACAAGAACATGTTTGAAGATGATTAATTTGTCTTTATCCCGTAGGGAGATCTCTCTGTAGCTATATAGTCAAACTATAAAGTTTGACTGATCTCAGTTGGTAATAGACGTCCCTAATTTGAAAATTACTATTCTACAGAAGAGGAGAAAAATTCTAACCACATGCTGGATAAATAGATAATAGATAAATCCATAGAGGATAGATCAATAAAGGATAGAGAAGAAAGAACAGACAAGAACTGATAGATCAATAATGGATAAATCAAGAAAGGAATGATTAATAAAGAATTGATCAATAAAGGATATACTCATGTAGGCGTCCGTGTTGAGTCTAACGCCCTCACCAACAAATTCGGGAGTTCGTTTCTTAGCAGAACAATCAGAGTATGTTTTCCTATCTTCGTAATCACCATTAGACTCTTCCAGCTCATTCTGAAATTTCTACACTGTCCTCAGATTGATACTCAAACACTCTGAGATGTTCGTTTTGGAGCATCTGGTGCGAATGCCAAGCAATACAGCATGCGGTTTCCAAATTTCTGGTGATGCCCTTTTTCTCATAGACGCTAACTGACCCTGTGCAGTCGACAAAATCAAAAACAAACAACGCGCATGCGCGAAATTGAAAATATTAAATTACGACATCGTAATTTTCCCATCGCTCCCAGTAACTGTTGATATTTTTCATATAAAAATATATCGCTGGTATTTTTACTATAAAAAATATTTTTATAGTTACATAGAATTTTGTTTGTGTGTTGGGGGGGGTTCACTATTTGCCCATCACTGGGACCCTAACCGGTGCTGCCACCCTAGGTCATGGGAAAATAGCAATTAAGAGGTAGTCCCACACTCCTCAAAAACTCAAATCTCCTTAACAGTAGTAGTTGATGTAATTTATCATCATCCCCAGGACTAAACAGTTTGGGACTGAATGCGGTTAGCTGCAGGTAGTTTTCATTACAAACGGCGAAGATAAAAGAGCAGTTTAAATCAAATTAAAAAGGTGAAAGCATGCAGTTAATCTTTTTTCCAAATTGCTCTCCCCCATGAGCAGATAAGTTGAAAATAGCAGTTCTGGTCAAAATACGAATGTATGCTTCCTTCTAACGGCTTATAGATAAAAACAATTTAAAACCTTTTAAAAACAAACTTTTTCTCTCCTTCCTTGTGCATTATGTATAAATCTCTATCCGTAGAATTCTATATAACATTATTGTTTTTAGATATGACCGTTGCATTTTTTTTTCCTTTGGTCCAAAACCCACACACCTACACATGCAAGCATAAAGAAAGACATGAAAATACAGAACATAGTATTTGTAGAAAAAATGTTTTTCTTCGGGGTTATTTCTTCGACTTGGCACCGTCGGACTCGAACGACAAAAATCTTTAGTAAGAAATTAAGAATTTATGACAAATAGCGATTGTAATAAGCATAAAATGGGATGATATTCCTGTCACTACAAATAATTAGCATCGATTAATCGAAGAATTAGGTAATAAGAAGGGTCGGAATAATTAAGGATTGTTACCAAAACAATTCATATTTCGTGCGATTCTTAAAATCTTAGTTAAATATTATTGTTAAAATTTAATATTTATACATCTTCCTGATTTGTTCCTTCGATTCAAGATTATGTTGCCGCACAGCAAAATTACTGGTCGATTTTCTTGCCGAAAAACATAAACCACAATAGCTTTTCTATTCTGAGTCTGTCTATATTTCTGAGATGAGGTATTATGTACATTATTTGGATTATTGTCCTCATCTTTGTCGCCATATTTATCACAACGTATCGGCCGTTGTACGCTCCGGCCTTCTTCAGGTTGGAATTTCAAACTGAACCCTATATTTCGCTGACTGGGGTAGACTGTTCTAGTTCCACGTGCCATGTTTGATGAATGTCAGTTATCAGTTATAACTCCTGCTAATTTTCCCTCTGAAAGTTCTCCACTGCCTTAACCGGGTATTGAACTCATACTCTTTGGGTCCTGTCACTAACCAACGCCTTTATCCACTGTGAAATGTGTCCTTGAGGACACATGGCACAATGGATAAAGGCCTTGAGGACATCTGGGTATGAATTTTTGGGCATTATAAACTTAATGTCCTCAGCAACCATTTTTATCAGTGCTCATATTGCAATTTTGCTGTTATTTTGCTATTCTAATAAAAATAATATGGAGTCGTGCATTTACGATTGACCAGATTTATTTCATTATCATTGGCCATTTGGTCAAAGTAAGTCTAAGATATTTTCATACCATAGTTGGGATGGGTTTGGTTAGTAATGTATCACTACCGCTTATCCTTTTTCGGCGGGGTTTTGAGAAGTGGGTTTTCTTTCTTCCTTTAAAGAGAAAAAAGCAGACCTACTAACATTTTCTAAGCTTGTTAACTCTGACCGATCAGTAGGCCGAAAACATCAGAGTAGATGGAACGACACCAGAGGAAAAAAATGAACACCGTCATATTATGGAATTTAACAGCAAAATTACCGGTCGATTTTCTTGCCCCCCCCCCACCAAAAAACAAAAAAAAAATAAAACAAAACAAAAGCTTTCCTATTCCACTGCATCATTCAAACGAGTTGATTAACTCCCTTTGTTTCAGCAATTTTAGATGTTGTTTGTGCTGAATCGTTCATCAAATGTTGCGGAATTTTTTCAATCTTCAACTTCTGATATCTTTTCGAGTGTTTTTCAGTTGTTGAAATCAAAACTTATTTTACAATAAACCATTACCGACAAGTGCTTGCAACAACTGCTTACCTTTTATCATAAAACTCACTAGTCGTTTACTTACGCCGATCTTTCCCCGGATAAAACATGAAAAGTAAACAGCATCGAAATTCAGTGTATTTATTATTAAAGTCATAATTAAAATACAGTGTAACCCGGATGTAAGAGAGTTGTCGGGACCGGAGAAGAAGTCTCTTATATTCGGGTTTCTCTTATATGCAGGTTTGGTCTATTTTGTTTAGCTAAGTATGGGCTCTAATTTGGGACCAGGGAAAATCTCTCTTATATCCGGGTTTCTCTTATATCCGGGTCTCTTATATCCGGGTTACACTGTAAAATGATCACCTATCCGAATAAAAAAAACTTCAAGCATATGTACAGACAATCAGTAGAGAGGTGAGACGATTTCATGTCTATTATACTATTTCTCGAACAATGTATAAAAGTCACTGATATCTTTTGAAACAGTTCTTTTACACACACACAAACACACACACATATATATATATATATATTTAAGTAAAGAAAATCTTGGTAATCCGTATGGATAATCCAAAGGAGGATTAAATCCAGAGAGCTCAATGTTAAGTCAGAGAGAATAATTTAATTTAAATGAAAAACAGACCACTTTATGGCTCCACTGTTATAATTTATTTCACCAGAGAATTTTATGTTTTTATTTTATTTTTCTTTGAAAATCCAGAAAATAAAATTCTCTGGTGAAATAAAGTATTACATTGGAACCATAAAGTGATCTGTTTTTCATTTAAATTTATATATATATATATATATATATATATATATATATATATATATATATATATATATATGTGTGTACGAACTATAATGCATACACTTGTATGTATGTGTGTCTGTGTATGTGTGTGTGTCAGCCCAAACAAACACAGATGACAATTCCCCCTCCACCACGCACAAATAATCAAACATAAATAGATCCACTTACAAAAAAAAATAAACCAATTTGTCTGATGATCGCAAAACCTGAAACTCAGGGTTACAGACTAATATCCATACAACTGAATATGTTAACTCTGTCACAGATATTGAGCACCTTCCACTAAGTATCGCGCATATAATATATATATATATATATATATATATATATATATATATAAAGTGAACATAGAAGTCAACACTTAGAGGCGACAGTCTGTTTCATGCTAGATGCAATCGTCAGGCCTGACGATTGCATCTTGCATCTGTCGCCTCTAAGTGTTGACTTCTATTCACTTTTATATTTACACTCTATCTCTGATATTGAGCACTTTATCCCAAAAATATAACACATCTTAAGACTATATTTCTTCATATATATATATATATATATATATATATATATATATATATATATATATATATATATATATATATATATATATATTTAGGCAGTAAATTCTCTTTTAGGAATGTCTGATTAAATAAATTACAGACATTATGTTTGCTTATTTTCATCATAATCCTTTCATATTCACGGATATTTTTCTGTGTATTACAATTGAAGACCAAGCATCTAAGAAAACTGACGAAATGGGACTTGTTTCTTCAGGACAATGTTCGAGCACACAAATCTGTTTCAATGACTGCTATGCATGACTATTGCTTTGAACTGGTTGATTGCACTCCCTATTCTCCAGATTTGACTATGATCTGTTCCCCAACAAAAAAGAAACTTGGCTGGTAACCTATATCGCAGTGATAATGACGTCATATCTGTTGTTGATGACATTTATTGACAAACAGAATGAACAGTATTCTTGAAGTGTAGCCAAAATCAGTTTACCTGAAAATAAGCAATGCAGTTGAAATGAATGGATGCAAAATATCACTGCTCTGGCATCATTATTTCATAGTTTGTGATGTTTTCACTTCACACTTTTATATATTACAAACACTATGTATTGCTGAAACATATCTATCTACCTATCACAGTCATTTAATATCTATCTATCTATCTATCTCAGATTGCTGAAACATATCTATCTACCAATCACAGTCATTTAATATCTATCTATCTATCTATCTATCTATCTATCTCAGATTACTGAAAACATATCTATCTACCTATCACAGGCATTTAATATCTATCTATCTATCTATCTATCTATCTCATCTATCTATCTATCTATCTCATCTTGGATGAAACATATCTATCTACCTATCACAGTCATTTAATATCTATCTATCTATCTATCTATCTATCTATCTATCTATCTATCTATCTATCTATCTCAGATTGCTGAAACATATCTATCTACCTATCACAGGCATTTAATATCTATCTATCTATCTATCTATCTATCTATCTATCTATCTATCTATCTCAGATTGCTGAAACATATCTATCTACCTATCACAGGCATTTAATATCTATCTATCTATCTATCTATCTATCTATCTATCTATCTATCTATCTATCTCAGATTGCTGAAACATATCTATCTACCTATCACAGGCATTTAATATCTATCTATCTATCTATCTATCTATCTATCTATCTCTATCTATCTATCTATCTATCTCAGATTGCTGAAAATATATCTATCTACCTATCACTATCATTTAATTCTATCTATCTATCTATCTATCTCAGATTGCTGAAACATATCTATCTACCTATCACAGGCATTTAATATCTATCTATCTATCTATCTATCTATCTATCTATCTATCTATCTCAGATTGCTGAAACATATCTACCTATCACAGGCATTTAATATCTATCTATCTATCTATCTATCTATCTATCTATCTATCTATCTATCTATCTCAGATTGCTGAAACATATCTATCTACCTATCACAGGCATTTAATATCTATCTATCTATCTATCTATCTATCTATCTATCTATCTATCTATCTATCTATCTATCTCAGATTGCTGAAACATATCTATCTACCTATCACAGTCATTTAATATCTATCTATCTATCTATCTATCTATCTATCTATCTCAGATTGCTGAAACATATCTATCTACCTATCACAGGCATTTAATATCTATCTATCTATCTATCTATCTCATCGATGATAGCCTTTCCTTTTCTTCATTGCGTTACAAAATCTTCGTATGAGGTAGAAAGATATTAACTAAATTGTCAGAATTAAACAGTTCACTGGATTTAAATATTTCGGTGTTTATTTATTTCATAAGCTATTTTAAGTTAAAATATTTTTTTTAGATTTTCAAAAATCGGTGTTGATTTTATGTCCACATCGTTTGTGTCTAGAAAGATTCTATCTCTGACATTGAGCACACTTATAACATGTATACATCAAAATTTTCAACAATATAATTATTTATGTATGTATGTATATATATATATATATATATATATATATATATATATATATATATATATATTGATGTATGTTTCATTAAATAATATAGACAAGTTTTGTCTATTTATTTTAAGTAAGTTCCTTTCATATTGTTTTATAAGCTTAATAACATTATAGTTGAAAGACGAATGAAAATCACAATATTGATACATGTTTTTTAATTCTATCTAAGCTTTCGGCTTACATAAGCCATTATTAAAGATGACAATTACATGTCAATATTAAACAATACACGGACAAAGCAATAATGATTTCCAAGCAACGACAAACTCGTGTATACGAGACGCGGAAGCGAAAATCGCACCGCAGCTCGTGACGTCAGACATGACCACACACACACACACACACACGCACGCACACACACACACACACACACACACACACGCATATATATATATATTAAGAATTAATGGATTTTGTATCCGACATATTCATATTCAAACGTTATTTTTAGTGGATACCGGTATTTGAGTGGACGCTTCGACTAGTTTAAACAGTTTAAAATAAAGAAAGCGTCTACTCAAATACCGGTATACAATAAAGATAACGTTTGATGTAATATATATATAATACATATATACGGTAATTTCCTTGGTTAAGACAGTTCCGACTTATGATTATTACGTGGTTACGACGCAGTCTCCATTAATTTTCTTTCCTGGTGGTACGCCATATTGGATTGTTGTGCATTCGTTCTCTTTCGTTTTGTGTTGTGTTTGTGGAAACTTCATTATGACGCCCAAGTGTAGTGTAAAATCTTCTGATGGCGGTGCTTTGAAGAAAAGGAAAACTATAACCAGTGACTTACACAGAAAATTTTATATGTATGGGTATGTGTGTACATGCCTATATGTATGTATGCACATGTAAATACAAATATGTTGTTGTGTATGTGTGTATACTTATGTGTTTTGAACATAGAAATATAGGTCCTTGCTAGATTAGATAATCGTTATATTTTTATATGTTTATATTTGATTTGTAACCTGTAGTCGATATTACTTTTGTCAAATTTTCTTGATTACACAGCGGCCCTTTTATAAATGCCCTTCGGTTTTAGTTCCCCCCACCCCTGATCTGATCTTTAAGATTATATCGTCTATTTTGTGTGTATGTCACCACAAAATGTACCCTTTCCGGTATATCTTTAATGTATTAGATATCCGAGAATATTCATATTTCTCTCACTTAAACCGTCTTTGACTCCCCTCTTTAAAACTTCCCTCTGTTAAATTTTAATCCCCACTTCATTTTTAGACCTTCCTGTTCTTCTCTCGTCTGTTACCCCTCTCTATAGCTTTCATTTACTCTAACATTCATCCCACATTCTCATACATACACTCTCACTAAATTTTATTTTTTATTCCCGGAGTTGTTTTTCTGTTTTCTTTTTGAATTTGTAGGTCTGATGAATTGGATCGTATTTACGATTCCAATGGAATAAATTATGACCATGGAATATTAGTGTTTAATCCTTTTTATTATATATATATATATATATATATATATATATATATATATATATATATATATATATTGATATATATGTGTGTGTGCATGCGTGCATATGTAGGTGTGTGCATTCCATTGAAATCGCTATATTTTGCATCACATGTTTACTAACAGTAAATCTTTTTAAATAATTATAGACAATTTGATATTTAAAGTAGAATATTGCCCGTCATAACATATATTATGAAGATTAAGAAAGTCTTGCCTTAAAAAAATTCTGACGCCAAAGTTGGTTTGTTCTAAAGGACGTGACTAATTCTGAAGAACCACCGATGTTTATCAAGAACGTGTTAATATTCGATATCTTTACAGTACGTTTGAGTTTTATAAAGTGGCACTTTGGTTCTGCCCGAAGGAATTCATGATAAAATCATTAGTATCTCAGCATCAAACCCTTTAAATATATAATATCTAACGAAAATATATTAATATAATAAACAATATATTGTTTTCTCTTCTACTCAGACTCGTAATGTTGCAATTTGTTTTTCAGTCTATATTTTTGTTTATTTCTCACAGGAAGTAGCAAACAAATACGAAAAGGCTGATCGACTTATCCAGTGGCTGTTTGTTCGCGAAAAGAAAAATTTCTATTCTCTGTGCGACATCCTGCAGTTATCCGGACATACGTTTGTGGCGGATTTCCTTCGTGAAGAAGGTGACTTCAAATTAATATCTTTCTTTAGCCTCGCTCTAGAGGCAAAAAACAAAACATTTCGTTGGTCAGATGTATATATTCGTGTCACCTTTTTTATTTTCTGGACACATTTGGTGAGAAAGTGTAGAAGTGTCTAGATTATTAACTGAACTTTTGGACAAAATTAAGCAGACTAATTTCTTTTGGAATTTCTGATGGGGGGTTACACTTTGTTTTTATTGTAGAATGACTATCAAAGGTTAAATTTAAAATAAGTGACAAAACTGTCTAACAAATAGAATTGACAAAATCAGCAATCAGCAATAACAAAATAAGAGGACAGAAAAGAACAGGGCAAAAAATAATCTAAAACAAGCAAAAAATATATGCAAAGCAAATTAACAGTAATAAGGCAAAACAACAGTAACACGGCAAAAAAGTTCACAAACTAAAAATTGGCATTGACACACAAAAGCAAATTTAAACAAGCGAAAGTAGTGTCATGACCTCAAGACAAGACAGACCGGGAGTGAGTCAGATGAAATCGAGAACCGGTCTATTTGATTGGCTAGGATAAAATTCTGGCATTTGTATGCTTCTGTCTATAAATTGGGGAGGGACAAGTGCTTTGCAGTCATTCCTATAACATATTGGGACCGACATCAATCATTTAATCCCAAGCAAGGCAATAAAGCTACTAGGACACAAGAGGTTACTGAGTATTAGAAAATATGAGAAAAATTACTATCAAACTGAGAGGAAAATAAAAGAATAAGTATTAGGCAGATAGAAAATAACGATTAACATTGCATTTAAACTTTTGAAGATCAAAGTTGACTGGAAAACAAGAATGTTCCACAAACAAGAAGTGCGATAGAAGAAACTGTTAGCATAGAACTTACGTTTACATCTAGTCATTTCAAATGTAAAATGACGAGACCTTGGCACCAATATATCACTGTGCCTTAATTCATAAAGTCTAGGTACCATAGAGAAAAGTTCGTCAGAACAATTACCATGAAAGACCGTGAGAAAGAGACTGAAACCGAGATGCCAGATCAGGATCAATAACAAATTCATCTTTGAATTTTCTCAAGAATCTTTAAAGATAGAGCAGGATCACCAGACCATGCATATTATTGAACTCATCTTTGTTATATTAGGATAACGTTTCGGCTATTCTGCCCTCCTGGTATTTGTTGATTCAGGTAAATTACAAGGAATTTCGAATTGAACCCGTTACTTAATCCAAGGATATAGATTCTTCTCCTTCCGCTAACCATATCTAGTCATATATCTTCTACATATTTAGTACTGCTCAGTTATTCTTCTTCTCACCGGAGAGTTCAACTTCTAAAAGAAACTGCACATATCCTAGTCTATGAAGACCTTTTAGTAGTCTTAGCATTGAAATAAATACGATATGAAAACTGTTAATAAAAAAAGGAAGAGTAATGACAGTAAAGCCACGACGGCAGCAGCAGGAGAAAAGCGAAGCGGCTGTTAATGCAGTCAATCTTGACTAGCAACATCAGCAGGCAGATTAGGATTAAGGCACAAAGTTCTTCACTCAACCTAGCGAATTAAACCGTTGGTTCCTGGATTTGGTTACATATTAATTGCGAATTCAGTTCCTTGGTCAGTGTGTTAGACTTGGGCTCGGGGTGAACAATAATTGAGTAGTATTAAATACGAACTAGACAGGACTTAATTAAATAAAGGGTTCAGTTCGAAATTCTCTGACATGCACCTGATAAATTTTCGATAATAAAAATGACACAGACATTACGTTGTTATGTATGTGATTAGCATATTCTTATAAGACTAGGCATAATGAAGTATATATTGAGCTTTGCTTAATGGTACCACAGCGCCACTGTTTTGGCGTGTTTCTCTCGCATTTAATGATAATAATCGAATATTGGTCTTCGTATATTTAAATCCCAACTTTTAACGTGCTGCTGCTGTTAATAATAATAATAATAATAATAATAATAATAATAAGAATAAGAATAAGAATAATAAAGAAATTGTTTAATCACCTATTCTGCATTGATGCTCTCTTTGCCAAAGACGACAATGAGTTGAATGTTATCTTTAATACTGTAAAATGTTTAACTGCTCACATCGATATGAAATTGTTTTCTTAAATCGCTTTCTTCTCTAAGAATTATTATTGTGCGTGATCTTATTTTTTTATTTTTTATTTACAAAACTGATCAATGGAAGATTTCATGAAGCCATATCTGACCTTAGGTCTCTGGTTGGGACCCGTAAGTAAATGTGTATACAACAGAAATCAAAAGAGGAAGAAATAATAATAATAATAATAAGCCAACCCTTATTAAACTGGGTGACATTGATGAGTATATAGAGTGTCCTATATGTGTACACCAACGTCACTTTTATCGTTCTGTTCTTAAATTACATAATAATTATAATATTAAGTAAACTAGGTACCCCTCCCACCCTGCACGCTGAAAAAAAAGCCTGTCTTTGTTATTCTGCCTTCTTCTTTTCAACAGAGAAATCAAGTGAAGTGATCGATACAAAAGCGTTATTTGAAATTCTTCCTTCCCTCGAGAGATGCTTGGGGCAACAGCAAAGAACAGAAATAGAACATTTCATTAAACAAAAGGTATCTGGAACTTCTGTGCCTCTAAGACAGATTCTCTATCACATAGATAGATATATATATATATATTGATCAATTGATTTTTGTTAACTGTTTATCAATCGTTTTCAGGTTATTTAAAGCCGGAAAATATTTTTAGATTGTAAGAATATTTTTAGAGATAATAATGATTTATTAATAAGTTCAACTAATTAATTCATAACAGCAATGAGAAGAGGTGGCTTTATATCTTTCTCAATGGTATTTCCCAGGTGAATATAACGAACCTGACTGGAATTAGAACACGGCTCTAAGATTACCAATTCCAAGCTGTTATTCATTCCACCACCCACACATCCCAGCTTACAGCACATGCTATTCCCAAGCGGTCCAGGCTTGACGTTGCTTAACTTCTGCTGTGTTTCAACAGGATATGGCTCTGATCCCCGTAAGCATGTAATATTTAAGCAAGTGATTTCATAATAAATAAATAAATAATATAAAAAGCTACATAATTACATATTATAATATATAAACACATTTAAAAGATAAATAGTGTGAAAAATCAATAGCCCATAATATATGGATGCGCATAAATGAATCAATAAATAAGTAGCTTAATGATAAGAAGCATTTATTTTACATAACAAATACTTATTTTTTAACGCAATCTCTTCTAAAAGTTGTCCCATTATTGACATGAATCAAACATTATACATTCTAATTTTCAGATTCAGGTTTATATATATATATATATATATATATATATATATATATATATATATATATATACATAATAAATTGGATCAGACCACTTTAAGGTTCCATGTTAAAAGGGCTGTGGTGAAATAATTTATTACATGGAACCTTAAAGTGGTCTATTTTTATTTAAATTATTTGCTCTGGATTTACATTGAGCTCTCTGGATTTTATCCTCCTTGGATCTACCCATACGGATTACCTAGTTTTTTATAAACTATATATATATATAAAATAAAAAAAAAACAAATGAAAACTACAGACAAAAGTTCATTTTCTCCAACAAAAGATTCATTTCTGTAGTTTACTGCTACCAGCAAGCAGAAATATTTCTCCTCCCGATGATGGCCATTTTGGTCGAAACTAGTCGATGAATCTAAATGAAATAATAATAAAAAAAAACGAAAGAATATTAATCTACAACCCAGTGTGTCTAAAGATTTTAATTTTTTAATTTTTTATTTTTATATTATATATATATATATATATATATATATATATATATATATATATATATATATATATTCCTCTCGCTGAATAGAACCACAACTGCCTTACTTAGTTTACTGTGATACTAAAAAAATAAATAAATATTGACTGTCCTTTAAATATCCAAATGTCAAAAGTTTTCCAGGGTGCAAAATACGATATGAAAAGGTTAACATAACCTTTCATTTTTCTCTTACAAGCTAGGCTTTAATTTTAGAATCAGTTTTTAGAATTGCATTTTTTAAATCATTTAGTTTTTATTCCTTAAACAATAGAACGATACATTGACCAGTGTTCTCTTAAAATTTTAAATAGGCTAAAGTTTCCAAATTTAATCGAATTTTAGTCTATGTAGAAAGGCTTTCATAAATGTTTTTTATGCCTTCAAAAGTGATTAATGCGTGAAGGGTCAAAAATGACTGTTTCTACTGATAATTTAAACAAGCAAGGAATAGTATAATAAAATTAAAAAAAATAAATTTAAAAATTTAAATATTTAAAATTTAAATATTAAATATACACAAATTCTGCTTTGCTCTCTCCTAGGTTGTGTTTAATTCAAGATGTATGATTATATTGCGTTGCTGGGAAAACAGTCCGATATTAGAATAAGAATTTTATAATAGTTGCACAAACATATATGTCATATAGGAAGACAATAAGTAACTACCAACATCGAGGTTCGAGCGTGACATTTATGAAAATATGTTTTTCCGCCAGATGTATAAATAGTGGTGTCAGGCTACTAACTGCAGTGATTATTGAGTGAGTATTGAGTGGAACTATTCAGTCGAATTAGTGTGCGTCGATGATATGGGTTTTGATTTAGGATTTACCGGACATTAAGCCGATAAGCCCAACTAACAAGGTATTCAGTGAAATGGTTAATTATTTTTGGTTGACTTTTACTTCTTTCTTGTTAAGTATTTAGTTGCCGTTGTAATTAAATAATGTTTTATTATAACATTGAAGTATTGAGTAATAATTAATTATTAACGGCCATCGTACGTCAGAAAAATATAATTACTCATTACTAATAATAAAAATGTTCTCATTGTTAATTATATATCAATCTCTTTCAGAATTTAACTTAAAACATTATATATCCCTTCATCTTTAACATGAAAAAAGAAGAAATGCGTTTACTTTTTTTTTGCATGTTTTCAAGCTTGGTCACAATGATTCTCAAACTGTTTGCAACATTAACAGGACATGGAGTGAAGGATCCACTTGTGACCGGACAGTGCATTGCTGTTTTCTGAAGTTCTGCATTGAAATATCAAAGTTGTAGAGGATGTCGATCTGCAATTGACAATCAACATCTGAAATCAAATGTCGAAAAACCCCACATCAGTGTGTCAGCAAAATGTCTTAGATAATAGGAATTTCAACAATATCGGACCATCCCAAAAAAATTGACATGGTGAAGAGAATCGATAAATGGGTTCCAGATGAACCCAGGGAAAGTCAAACAGTTCGAGGTTTTGAAGTGTGTTTGATGTCGCATCTGTTGACATTATTAACAGCAAAGGATCTACTTATGATCGGACAGTATGGTGCTAGTTTCTGAAGTTCCGCAGTAAGAATACAAATTTTGAAGATCAAATATGTTATTCAGCCTAAATGGTTAATGTGTCCTCTTTCTTAATTTTATATCTATCTCTTTCAGAATTTACCTTAAAACGTTAAATGCCCTTCAGCTTGGATGTAAAAAAAAGAAGAAAAAGAAATGGCTTTATTCATTTTTGATTTTTTTTACATGGGTTCATACTTGGTCATAATACTTCTCAAACTGCTGACATTATTAACAGCAAAGGATCCACTTGTGATCAGACAGTATGGTGCTAGTTTCTGAAGTTCCGCAATGGTAATACAAGTTTTGAAGATCAAGGTGGTGGGTAACGTTTCCCTGTAATTAACAATGAACTTCTGAAAATACTGGCCGAACAAAACCCAAAGTACCAAAAAATATCCCAGATAAAGGGTGTCAATATTTCAACAATATTGGAGCATCTCAACAAAATTAGCAAAGTGAAGAAACTCAATAAATGACTTCCACATGAACTCAGTGAGAGTCAAAGAGTTTAATGTTTTCAAGTGTTTGATGCTTCATCTGTGAAATTCGAATGATCTATTTGTTGATGGAATTAGTGACTTATAATGAGATATAAATCCTTAATGACAATCCTAAATGATAGGCTCAATGGCTTGATCATGACAATGGATTCAAGCTCTTTCCAAAATGGAAATGGCACCAACAAAAGATTATGGTGACTGGTGGTCTGCTATTCATGTTATCCATTACAGATTTCTGGAATCTAACCAGAGCATCATGACCAAATTTTACTTCCAGCAATTGAATGAGATGTATATTCAGTTAAGCAAAGTGGTACTGGTTGATTGACAAAGTTCAATTCTACTTCGTGACACTGCTCGGTCACATGTTGCCAAGATGAAACTGCAGAATTTCATCAATTTGGGATATGAGACTTTGCCACATTCACCATATTCTCTTAATGTCTCGTCCACTAATTACCACTTTTTCAAGCATTTTCATAAATTTTCAAGCCAAACGACATTCAGCTGCAAAATAGATGCAAAAATGCATTCAAATATACTTTTTGTCTTAACCTTTAAAGTTTTAGACGTTCAGGGTTCCTGTTACGACAGATTTAGTTACTGTTTAAGTACATTAATTCAAGAATAGAAGTTGATCCTAAAATCCGACATTGTCCTATCTAATAATTTTGAAATAAAAAAAGGTTATACCCAAACAGTTTTTTATTTCTAATATTTTATTCTAAAGTTCACTCAGTACAAGGCACGAGAGCCACACAAGGAAGAGGTCAGAGTCAACAAAGGTGATACTGTATGGGGTGCTAAAATGAAGATTATTTGAAAGAAAGGTAATAAGTGATACTTGACTTGAAGACGTCAAGATTGAAGTGTTCGGGGTAGCAAACACGCAGGAGTCTGTTGCATAAGGTGGAATTTAATCGAAGAAAAGCTGAATTTCTTCTTACATTTGATATACGGTGAAAATGAGGATCATTCGACATTGTGAAAATGGCAAGGTGAGTTCTTGGTGCGAACGTCAGGACTGAGACTGGATTGACAAAAGAATCGACCTAATATGAACATTTGATATGGAAGTAGAAACAGAGTAACAACAGATTTGCAACGGTACTTATGTGGGGAAAGAAGTTGTAAAGTTGAAAACACCCACATCCCCCACAAAACAATGTAAACAATTTCGAACAATGTCAAAATGAAAAAAAATCAGGATTCAGTAGCTCCAACCTAAATATGGCTTCAATATTCCATTTTTGCTCTCATCTAATCTGACTCTTATAAAACAAAACAAAAATATATTTAAATTATTTATATTGTTCCGACTGTTGTCTACATCTTTATTGTCATAATCACGACGTTTCGGCAGTTATACGCCCCGACCTTCTTCAGGAATTTCGAATTGAACACTTTATTTCGTCAAACGCGGTAGATTGTTCGTTCCACGTGCCACGCCTCTTCCGGATGTCTCAGTTATCTCTCTTTAACTCAACTCTACAAGTTTTTGATCACCACTGCAGTAGCCAGGTATTGAACTCACAAATCTTTGGGTCAAGTCAATGGATCCAACCAACGACCGAAACGTCGTGAATATGGCAAAAAAGATGAGGACAACAGTCCGAAAAATGTAAATAATGTAAATAATGACAATACCTCATCTCATATATATAAACAAAACCTGAAGAATGTCGGTGCGTACAACGGCCGAAACGTCGTGAATATGGCAATAAAGATGAGGGCAACAGTCCGAACTATGTATATAGTAAAAACAGTTACAATAACTCATCTCAGAAATATAGACAAAACAAAAAAGTGTTTTTTCTTTTGTCGATATAATAATTATATATATGAGTTGTGTTAGTTATTAGTGTTATTATTGCAGTAATTTTAGTACATATATGTTTCATTTTACTGATTAGTAATCCTTCCCTTTTATTTATGATACAACTTTTCTGATTTCAGGTGAAGGAACTGAAGTTCCGCTGTTTATGGAAAGAAAGAAATGCGGAGAAAGAAAAGTCCATGGAAGCGAAAAATCTTCAATTGGAGCAGTCGTATGAGTACCATGTGGCTCTGAAATCGAAGGAAATTGAGATTTCAGAGCTGAAGGGTGAAATCGAATCATGCGACCAGGAAAAAGAACGTTTGGGTAAGGAAATCAATCACTTAAAGAAAGAAGTGAAAGATGTGCAGGAACGTTGTGATGGTGAGAAAGAGCTACAAATTCGCCATAACCGAGCCAATGAATCAAGCCTAAAACGCTTAGGGGACCAACTGGAAATCTCGAAAAATCTACTACGAAATACACACCAACAAATAACTTCAATACTGCATCTGCAGCCGAGATCATGTGACAAAGACTTGATAGCCATTATGGAAAACGAGTTTGCGTTTTTCTTGGATGACTTCGGAAAATTCTTGCACCGGTTTCGAGAGTTGGAGGAATTGCAAAAAGAATACGAATCACTTAAAGCTGAAAGGGATTGGGTCCTTACGCATCTTGGTTTCAACCCACAGGACGAAGATGCGCCAACTCTGACACAGGCCTATCGGGAATTCGCTGTGAGGACCGATGATAATATAGCGAAACTTAAATCTGAACTTTCAATTAAAAAGAAAGTATTATGCAAACAAGAAGCTGAAATCCAAGGCTTGTCTATTGAAAGAGAGGGTGAAAATGGTGGAAAGCATTCGAAAATTGTCAGTTGTTGGCAACGATTTCTCTTTGCCGTTCTTCGACGTCAAGTTAGAAAGCTACAAGGAGAGAATCGGGAGAAAAATGAATTTATTAAATTGATCTCGAAGGAGAATGCGATTCTGAATGAAGAGAAAATGGAAAAAAGAGCTATTATGTCTGCTGGCCAAATCTCCAGAGAATATACAGAGAAGCCAGCCAATAAAAGTTCTCCAGACATGGATAAAGAAAAGACCTTGGAAAATTCTCACCCTCAAGCCAAAGTAACTTTCCCCGAAGAAGTCCAGATTGCCGGATCCGCCAAGACAGAAAATTCATCAATTATTATTCAAAATGTCCCAATTTTGAACACTAATTCCAGCCAACGACCATTTTCTAAGCAGACAACCTCAAAAGCATCCGATAAGAAAATAAAGAGCAGTCAGATATCAGAGGCTGCGTTGGGAGGGGGCCTAACTGCTAGTTCTGTAAAAATGGTCAGCCGACAGAATGGTAGAAAGAGATTGGTGTAAGCTTCTGTACACCTTTATTAAGCGGACATGGATATATGGCTTTTTTATAATGTATAAAAGACAAAGCAAATGCATTTTGTTTGTACTTTCGAAATAAAAATAATCATTAACTTCTGTTAAATGTTTCTTAACTATCTTAAACTATATTTTAAATTCAATAATTCAAATTCAATCTTATACTATATTTTAAATTCAATAAAACAGAAAAAATGCAAAACGATTATGGAAAATAAAATATGTTTTAAAATGCAAAATATTGATTTTTTAAACAAATACATATTATTTATCACTAGCAGTGTTGTTTTGTGATATCATGTGTAGAATTTATTAAGCAAATATTAAAACTTGTTTTACGTTTTTGTTACGAGACGTGATTTTAGAACGCAAATATAAAAATACATAAAAAACAAACATGTGATTAGATGCAACGAGGATAGTAATACAATTTAAGAAATTACATTTTTTGTTCTTTAAGCATTCTATAAAACCAAGCTTATAGACTGTTTAAATTTGATTGCTAAATTATTCTTTTAATATTCTATTGAAGTTCTGTGCACGCATTGTGCTTGAAAAAGTGCAAAATAATATTTTGCATAATTAAAATTCTCCAATCTAAACAAATACAAAAATTGTAATATCTGGGAAGGGTTTTAACAGAGCACAGAATATGCGACACTGAAGGCGGATTGTAATAGCGAAAGATGCGTTCCAAAAGCTAAGCAAAGTATTAAGAAACAGAAACATTTAGTTAGAAATAAAGAAAAGAGTACTGAATAGTTATGTAATATCAGTCCACCTATATGGCAGTGGATGCTGGGCAACCTTCTCACAGATGTAGAAGAGACTTGAAGCAACAGAAATGTGGTTCTACAGAAGAATACTGAGGATAATATTGAGCTATCATGTGAGTAATGAAGTTTTTAGAGAAAATGAAAACAAAAAGGATACTTATATTTAAGAGACAGCTGAAATTTCTAGGGCGCATAATGAGAAAAGAAGGCTTGAAAAATTGGATACTCACAGGCTACATTCAAGGAAAGAGGGACAGATTTAAACTGTGCATAACCTACCTTGAGTAAATGAATGATTGAACGAGGTTTAAGAGAGATGACAAAAACACAAAATTAAGGGCTACAAAGAACTGAAAAGTGTGGAGAGCCATGATTTCCTACGCCCTGAAGGGATATAATTTATAGAAGTAGAATCTAAACAACCTGTGAATGTCTTTGACAAAGTTATCTACGGTTGTTAATAGCTAATCTGACATTAAAAATCGATAAGAATGAGATTTACGATTTTTAATTATACGAATATTGCTGACAGAGTAGAGGAATTATTCGTGTAAATAATTTTATTCGTGGTAAAAAGGAAGAAACAAATGAATTCATTCCGAGCAAATTAGCTTATTTTTCAATTTAATTCCTTGATATTTGTTGTTTCAGTTAATACGATATTTGATTGCTTGTATGGAAGAAATGAAAAACAACATTGTTGTTCACCAATATTTTCAAGTAGAAAACGACCATTTTGAATCCTGGTTTTTACTTTGTCTTAAATACTGGTTTGGAAGTACATATTTTAGTCATGGGTTAGGCCACTTTTACTATTTGCTTTATATTTCCATCATAAAAAACTAACCTGGCCGTTTGTCTTGAAAAGGACCTCCAATTGGTTGTGGACTGTGGCAGGAATTGGCTGGTTAACTTTAATGCCTCAAAAACAAAACTGCTCTCTATACTCACCACAGAGAACCATCCCTGCCACCCATTAGAATGTCTGACGCTACGAGAGAACCTCTTTGCGACTGCTCGGTCTCACATTGACTGCTGACCTGAGATGGAACAAATACATTGAGTCAATAGCTTCATCCACCGCAAGGAAAGTTGGCTCTCCGTACCGCGCCAGAAAATTTTTCCTTCAAATCTACAAATCAACCATTCGCCCTTGCATGGAGTATTGCTGCCATATATGGTCTGGAGCCCCTTCTGTTTGCCTCGGGGTTCTTGATAAAATCCAGAGACGGATATGCAATGTAATTGGCCTTGATCTGGCATCTCGTCTGCAGTCGCTCTCTCAAAGACGTGTCATCGCCTAACTTTGTCTGTTTTACAAATACTTTCACGGTAACTGCTCCGATGAGCTGCTTTCGCTGGTTTCCAGAATTCATGAATTTAAGCTTTCAACTAGGTTGGCATCTCGCTCTCAACCTTTCACTGTCGAAACTGTTAAATGTAGCCGTCTCTTCTACTCCAATAGTTTCATCTCTCGCACCTCTCGCCTGTGGAACTCCCCCCTTTTCCTGTTTCCCTGATAGCTACAATCTCCAACTATTCAAATTTAATGTCAATCGAGGTCTCCAGATGCCCTGATCTATCCCCTATTCTTCTCTTCATCCTTTCCTCTATCACACCTATTTGCTCTCGCTCCAACTCTCTTTAACCCCTTGCGTGCTAGTGGCTTTCCGCTTTGCTTGGGGTGAAACGCTTAAGAAAATTAAAACCAAATTCAAATTTCGAATTCTCTGACAGGTAAAGCTCAATTCTTAGGAAATTATTTACATTATTCGGACTATTGTCCTCATCTATGTCGCCACATTTATTACAACGTTTTGGCCGTTGTACGCTCCGGCCATATTCAGGTGGTTGGAATGTCGAACAAGGACACATGGCACAGTGGATAAAGGCGTTAGTTAGATCCAGTGACAGGACCCAAATAGTGTGAGTTCAATACGCGGTTAAGGCAGTGGAGAACTTTCAGAGGGAAATTAACAGGAGATAACTGATAACTGACATCCATTAAACATGGCACGTGGAACTAGAACAGTCTACTCCAGTGAGCGAAATAAAGGGTTTAGTTCGACATTCCAACCACCTGAAGAAGGCCCGAGCGTACAACGGCCGAAGTGTTGTAATAAATATGGCGACAAAGATGAGGACAATAGTCCGAATAATGTAAATAATGTACATAATAACTCATCTTAGAAATATAGACAGATATCTTATGAAATTGGTATTAAAAGAATTTTCTACAATTACCTTTTCCGCCATTTGATGAGTATTAACTGAATTGCTATGACATGAAATAGTCTGTTAAATGAGCAATAATTATGATACTCGTTACATCGTAATCTGCACATTTTCAAAAGGAGTATTTATTTTTTTCTGACACTTCTGAAAACCGGTACCACCAAATGAAAGGCATTAAAGCCACTATGACACAAGGGGTCACTGCATGTGGAAGAATTAGAAACAGAATCATTAATAATGAGTGAGAAAAGGAAAAAGTAATCAGGTGGACAGTAGATAGCGACTGAATTCGCATTTCTAATATTTTCAGATTAAAGTTGGCGGGAAAGCATGGAGCTGGAAGCGTAGGTTGATGTCTCACATATCAACCATCACAAACATGCAAAATACAACTCTTAACACAAGAAAACATTAATAGATATTAAACGTGCTGTAATGATTAGAAAGCTTGTCTTGCTAGATCACTTACAAATCCTTCGCGTGTGTTCTATACTTGCAACTTTGTACCAAATCCAAGCTATTCTTGGTAAATCAACACCAAAATACTATCCCTGGTTACAAAGAAAGACTCAGAATTTAGAAAGTCATTTAGATTAGATATTTTTTTCGCAGGAAACGGTATCATAAAGTGGGAATCAAATATTTAATACGTGTACAAAATAATAACACTTATTTGATAAACGCTTTTCCGTTTAAACCAAAAAAGCCTTTCCATTTAACCCCAAAACGCTTCTCCGTTTAACCCATAAATCCTTTTCCGTTTAATGCATAAATGTTTTTCCGTTTAATCCATAAATCCTTTTCCGTTTAATCCATAAATGTTTTTCCGTTTAATCCATAAATCCTTTTTCCGTTTAATCCATAAATCCTTTTCCGTTTAACCCATAAATCCTTTTCCGTTTAATCCATAAATGTTTTTCCGTTTAATCCATAAATCCTTTTCCGTTTAACCCATATATGTTTTTCCGTTTAACCCATATATGTTTTTCCGTTTAATCCATAAATGCTTTTCCGTTTAATCCATAAATCCTTTTCCGTTTAATCCATAAATGTTTTTCCGTTTAATCCATAAATCCTTTTCCGTTTAATCCATAAATCCTTTTCCGTTTAACCAATAAACGTTTTTCCGTTTAATCCATAAATGTTTTTCCGTTTAATTCATAAATCCTTTTCCGTTTAATCCATAAATGCTTTTTCGTTTAACCGTGTAACATGACGTCACTTTAGACTGATTCCAATTCAAATGCTCTGAAAATGCTATGATTTAGTAAAATAATATCTTGTCAACCACTCTCTCATCACCCAGTTCTTGATAATGACTGGGACGTATAAAAATAGTTAAA